CGACCAGAGGTCCCATCCCACTGCACCAGTTGTCTTGAAGGTTCTTGAGTTTCTGAGCTAGGGCTCACTTGTAATAAAGAAAAAAAATATTGTTTCTTTTATGATATATATTATATTATATATAATATTAAATAAAGAAATAATGTTTACTTATAAGAAAAACTCTCTAAAAAATATATATAATTTTTAATTAATTTATTATATTTTTAATAGTAATATGGTTTTTAAAAAATGTTTAAATTTAATTTTATTATATATATAATTCAGATTATATATATATTTGTATTTAATTCTAAAACCAGATTATATTCATATTACTAAATAATAATTAATAAGTAATTAAAAATTGTGTTGTCAATCAAATTTTTTTTTATAATAATAAGAAAACATATATACGTAATTCAGATTATATATATGTTAATATTTAATTTATATTTTTAAAAACCATATTATATTTGTATTACTAATAAATAATTGAAAATTATATTTAATTTGAAATTGTATTATCAATCAAATTTTCTTTTATAATAATAAAAAAATATGTATAATCTAAATAGATCTAATAACTTTGTTTAAAGATATTTTTTAAAAAATATTTATAAATTTAGCAAATATAATAATAATAATAAAATTGATTTTTATAATATTAAAGAAATTCAAATTATAAAAAAATAAAATAATAAAAATATATTGTTATAAATCTTTTATTATATAATTAAAAATAAACAAGATTTTTAAACTTAAATAAATTTTAATTAAAGATTATATTTTATTGTATTAGTTATCTTTAATATTTTTGAGTTTTTGAGCTAAAACTTACTTATAAAAAAAGTATAAAACATTTTCTTTAATCAAAATTACTATAAATAGAAATTTTTTAAAAAAACAGTTGTGATTAAGAGATTTTTTTTTCATATTTTTATTTTTTATTTATATATTTAATTAACAATTATATATATATTTATACAAAATTTTTTTAAACAAAATATATATATTAAAATAAAAATTTTTTAGGAGGGTGGTTGTTTAAATATTAATTCAATTTAATTAAATATAGTTTATATTGTAAAAAACGATCAATAACTTAGCACGTATATTTACTTATCTAGTGAATGACGTCGATTTTTTGCAGATATCCAATTCATAAAGAATAATGGCAACTAGGGACGATGTGATTAACACGAAGGTATCTTTAGATAACAGATTCATAAGTCTGCTGTTCAGACAAAGCGCGGATCGCAGTCAGGAACGTTATAAAGAAGTATTACCGGAGACTTTTCCTTTCAAAGAGGAGTGTGTCATAGCCCTTCCACCACGCTTGCGCGATATCCTAGAAAGTATCCTTATTTTAAACGTATTTTCATTTTTATTTACTTAGTAATTTTAAATTTATGTAAATCCTGAATGTATGAACTACAGGCAACAATCGCGACATTCACGTAAAATTAGGTTGCTTACCTTACATAAATGCAGTTTATTTTGTTGTTAATGACAACTTGTTTATTTGGGAATATGAGAAAGGGTAAATTTATTTTTTGTACACTCTAGTCACGTTTGACAGAGAAATTTCTTTAATATACTTTGAAAGTTTTATTCTTTTTCTGTTTTAACGCATTTTCGACGCGTTTTTTGGAACAATAATTGCATATTCATTAACTCTCCCATACCTTGGTTCTATTAATTAAGAAATGTCGATAGTGCTATTGCTCATATCGACGTGCATCCACTGCAGGATCAGTATATTAAAAGCGTTGGCCTTATCAAGCCAAGAGCAGGTATGTAGCATCTATAATAAGTCTATATCAACTACTTCTTACTGAAGTCTTCTTGAAAATTTAGATCGATTTATCGATAGTGCTCAGTATGTTTTAGTCATCGCCACCGACAAGGCGATTTACGTGTTTGGATTTAGTTCCTTGTCCCAAGGAGTAGTATTTCACGACATGTCATCAGATAGATACAGGACAGATTACAGTAAAAAAGATATCGGTCCCATAGTCGGTACAGATGATGGTCGCATTTTTCTTATTGATGCTGGCGAACTTTGTGAACTTGTATACGAGGTAAGTTTTTTTTGTCTTTATAATCGGATTACTGTTTTATTACATTATATTTGAAAATATTTTTAGGATGAGGGCTGGTTTTCGAAAGCTTGTCGACTGGAAATTCACTCTCTAAGTTCCATAAATCAATACATTCGATGGGTCAATCCATACTCCTGTAAGCCTTGATCAATTGATTTTTGTGAATTATTTTTATTATATTGAATCCTTTCTTAGGTTTTTACTTTAAATTTAATGGTTAAGCGAGTTTCAAGTCTATCGCGGTCGATGACACTCGGCGAATGTTATACGTCATGTCGCCTAGTCACTTAGAGGTAAACAAATATCAGCGTTAGTAGATATTGTTTAGCATCAGTCTTAGAGATTATATTTATTTTTTCTTAGGCATATCATATACCTAAGGAAGGAGGGTCTTTACGGTCTATCGGAAAATATTCAATTAATGATGACAAGTCGATGCTTAAGGGTGAATTTGTATCCATACATTCGATATTGAATACAGATTCACCATATTTCTGGCTGCTTGCCGTTACAAACACTGGTAAATAATTTGTTCCTGACAATAATTGACCTCTAGCGATCTTATCCAGAACAAATATGTTTATAGGACAACGAGGATATTTTACTTGCTATATTGGCAATAGAGGATACAATTGGTGGTTATTTACTGAAAGTGCAGCAATGCTGAAGACGAAAGAGCCGAATGGTTTATATATACTTGAAGTACATGAGCCACCACCACCACCTCAGAATCAATCTCAGTTGACTCACCAAGTTAAGCCGGAATATCATTCATTTAGATATTTCCATGGGATCTTTTTAGCACTACGAAGAGTTGGCAGTTCAAACATGTTAACAGCCACAAGCCCTAATTACGGATCAATGTTCCGTAGATTCATTCAAGTATGTTACTCTGAAGTAGATCTTTGATTGTTTTATGTAATTTTTGTGTTTCTAATCATATTTTACATCCAGAATCAAGAGCCAATTTTCTCTGAGCATTACTACACTTGTACTTTGCCAAATATTTTCGACATTCGTGAAGTTTATGATCCTTTGAATGACCCGAAAAAATCTGATGAATATTCGAATGAACTGATAAATCAATTTAATTCTCTTCCTCGAAAATTTATTTTATACACCATTAATGGTAAGTTGTTTACATTTAGATTCTTGCGCAATTATCGAAGTTTAAATAAATGATAATCATTATAGGTATTATAATCTGGTCCAAACAAAGGCCAGTAGAACATCTACACAATATGATTAAAAAGACCACGTCTAGAGATGTACTGAAAACTTTCTTTGATAAGTATGTTATTTTCTGATAAATATGTGTGTATTGATTATAAATAATCATTCTCGTAAATCTTTTGTATATATCTATCAATCAGTTACGGACCGGAACAAATATGTGCAACGTGTCTTCTAATCGCTAAAGCCGAAAGTCATTCTTTCATTCAGACATTTGGACGTAAGTTTGTAATTGACAGATTCGTTGAGCTTTTTGAAAGGATTCTCATTTAGAGATTGAAATTAATAAAAGATATTTCTATCTAGCTTCTTACAACACATTGTTTGAAGGATTCGCTTTCTGTTTGGCAAGAATTCTTCGACCCGTTTGGCGTCAAAAAATCCTCAAAGCAAGGTCAGTATTAGTAATGGTTCGCTGGTTGGCTTGTGCGCGTTGCAATAATCATCGGCAATTAAAAGATTAGTGTAAATTTCCAATTCTTTTCAAAGGTGAACTGCTTAGCCAGTAGTTATGTGTTGCTTCTCCTTAATGAATTTTCTGGTCGATTAATATTTCCAATCATTTCAATGTGTTAGCCCCGATAATACAAATCCCGACCGACGAGATACCAACCTTCCGGTACCCATACTGAAGAGAGTAGTGGATAAGCTAGGGGAATTGAAGAATTTTTGCGATAGGTATTTGCTACTTAGTTTGTTAACAGTTTAAATGGTATAAGGCTATTAAATTAAAAAAACTTTCCTCAGTTATCCTATGTTTAAATCTCCGCCACAAATTATTGGCGACACCACGACGGTTTGTAAATATTTATGGATTATAAAAATTTGAATTTCAGCATTAAAATGATATGCGATATTCTTTCAGGCGCAGAATACATCATTGAGTTCTTTGTATGATCTGCTTGTCACGCTCTCTGATGCGATCAACTTCATATTGCTCATGACTGAATACAATCTACCAGAAACAATTGCGAGGTTATTTAAACAGATTTTTTAATTGAGCGCCTCTTCCCAAAAAATAACTAATGAAATACTTATGTGATTTGTCTGTTTATTTAGTATTGCCAAAAGTTCACAACAAGTCGTTTTTCAGTCAGCGTTTGAACAATTGGTGACATTTCAACAAGTCAGAAGTAGTTGGCACGATCTAGTACTTGCGATAATCAAGAGGGAAAGTGGTCCTCGTGTAAGTGAAATTGGATACATATTGTTCTTATTTCAGATTGACGGTTGTGTAATAAAATTTATTTTTCGATTGACAGGTTGATAACCTTAGCCGTGAATTAGAAAGACGGTGCCCTACATTTTGCAATGCAGCCGAAACTAAGATGTATCAGGTATTTACTTGATAATCAGTAAGAAAAATTGTTTTTCTCCATGTAAGTCGTAACGAATTTTTGCTATCACTTTGTAGGGATATGAAGCTTTGCAGAAAGCCAAAAAAAATGAGGACGAACACATTACTAGTGAAGCTTTACGAAATTCGCTAAAGTAATTTATTTTTATAGGAATCTTAATTATGATCATATTTTACTTATCACTCTGAAATTTTATAGTCTTTTTTGTGAGTGCATCAATATTTTAACGTACGGCACTTTAAATAATTTGTGTCAGGAATACAAGAATTTTGGTTTCTATGAAGGTAATGTTTCATATGTATTCTATGAGCTTTCATAAAGTGCTAATTGAAATTTCTAATACATAGGCGCCATCGAGCTCTTATTAAAAGCTGCCCAGAGCTTCGACCCGGCACCCGAGAAACGTAACTCGATCCTGGACCTTGTTATCGATACTCTTAGGGACGCTGGCGTTTTCGTAGACGGAATTCAACGTAAGTTTCTCGAATTTAAGGAAAGGTGATTCATTCAACTAATCCTCAATGTTTAAATAGGCAATACTCAATCTTACAATCCGGTGCTGCAGAAGGCCCTTAATTTGGGAACATCTTTAAACGACAAAACTTTTCTTTACGCAGTGTATGATGAATTCTTGCGCGCCGATTCTATTCCTCAATTGTTTGATGTATATTATATTTTTAAATTTTTTGATCGCTTTTAATATTAAGTGATGAATTTGTTTAAACCCGATTTTTTTAATGCTTCCCATTCGTGTAGCCTCCAGCTCCCTATCTTGAAGATTATCTAAATTCATCCAATGACTTGACATCACCTATCTCAAGAAAAAAAATGGATCTATATTGTGATTTTTGCGTCACGCATCGCCAGTATCTTAAAGCTGCCATGGTCAAAGAGCATATAGCCAAGAATTCTGGGTGAGCTACTAAATTTTCTTGATTCGAGTGTTGATCAAAATTGTTGATTAAATTTCACATGCAGTAGTGATGTTGGTCTTCAAGAGCGGTTGCATTATTTGAGTCATGCTGTGGGCCAAGCGGAGAGCGCTAAAGAAATAAGTGAAACCAAAGATGTGATGGAAGCTCTGCATAGACTACGAAATGAATTGAAGGTTTTATTATCATTATATATTTCGTAGCTCAATACACATTCTTATAATGGAATTTAACGCAATTTCATTCAAAACATAGGTTGCCAGAATTCAGTTTGAAATATACTTGGAGATAGATAAGATGTCCGATGCAAAATATAGGGCTATCGCGCTTTCCACAGGAAAGCCGGATAAAGCACAGTTGCTTGCATTACTCAATCGACAACTCTTTGATGCGGATCTGGTAACAATCGTCGTTCATATTTGCCATTTACTGACTTGAACTTTATAAATTAATGCCATTTCACATCGAACGCAGCTATTGAGGGAATTTGCCGTACCATTTGACCTGGTCGAAAGAGAATTATCCATCGTGCATGCTGTTGAGGTTGCTCCTCGTCGAACCGACATAGACAATATATGGAGAAAAATAATGCATAAAGGTAGTCTCCTGTTATCAATTGAATACTTTTCTTGATTTAACTATCTATTCGATTTTGTCTTTAAAGCTTCTCAGAGATCCAAAGAATCTGGGAACCCTCAACCGATAATCGATATTGTGCTGGAATGCGGACGAAAATTTTATCCACACGATTTACGTGTATTTCCGATGGGTTTGTTCGAAGAAAAAATTTTTTCAATCGGTTATATAATCGTTGCACTCTATTTACGGTCCTTTGTAACTTTCGAACACAGAAACAATTGTACGTCTTATTGCAATCTATTTAATTGAAAATGGAATCGATGAACCCAATTTCATAGCAAGGGTTTTGAGACAAGCGAATGTTGCATTCGGTGATCTTTTCAATACCCTCCATCGCTTGTATGCACTTAAGGTTAAATGAATTTCATAATTACAATTCCTTTCAAGCAACCAGTGCCATTTCTTCATTTCTTGATTGATTTCGTTATTTGTATGCAGGTCGAACCCTTTAATTCTAAAGGTGGGATGTATCTTTTACTCAAAGAACTTGTTTACGTGCTCAATCAGTGGATGAAATCTGTTGATGAACGGTATATATATTTAACTATTTTGTCCGCGTTATTCATGAATGAAATTATAATTAATTTTGATATTCTTCCAGCTACGACATCGAATCAAGAAGTATACACGGATATGTATCTCAATATTTAACGACAGTAAACCATTTTTCATTAGGACAAGATCTTTCTCATGAATTTTTGGAAATTCAAAGAAAACTCGAATCTTTTTCAGCCAACATGTTAGAATAAAAGCTAGTTCTTGTGTTAATTATCCGATAATTAGGCCCCTTTCCAAGTGTGTGTCATTGTTGATTTATTTTCCAAATTACTTGTAAAATCGAAAAAGAATTTGATCGACGTTTTGTAGTTAAAGATTACAAATTATATATAAAGAAATGATGTATTATTGATTATATTTTTGGTTTAACACAAATAAATTCATAATCATGTGACAAACGAGTTTATTATTACATTACATCCCAGAGCTCGCATGTTATTATTTTGTTTCTCTATTTTCTTACTTCACAAGATTAATCAAAATGGGAGGAGGAGACTTGGTAATGTATGAAAGAATTCTCCCTATCACCCGTTAACCGTTACTAACAAGAATGCACATTTTAGAATATGAAAAAATCCTGGCATCCGCTCTTGATTAAAAATCAAGAACGGGTGTGGAAGGAAGAGCAGAAGGCTCTGGAGGAGCAAAAGAAGTTGGCTCAATTGAAGAAGGAAAAAGAAGAGGAAAGGCAACTTCAAGAATTAAGAAAGTTGCAAGAGTCCGCTGGTGGAAGGTGAGTACTTTTGAGTTTATATATATATATATATTCAGTGAGGGTAAGATCAATAACGAAGTTTAATAAATCTAAATGTATTATGATGTAGGAAAGGTCCTGAAAGACTTGACTGGATGTACGCTGCGGGTCCCAATCAGTCGGCTTCTGCAAAGGCTCAGGAGTTGGAAGATTTCTTGCTTGGAAAAAAACGTGTAGACTCACTTGTTGATAACGGCACTTCTTTGAGCAAGGTGAGTTAAATGACGTGGAACTAATGGATTGCATTTATCGGATTTTTACTAACTAATCATTTACGAATAGCTTTCGGCAAATTCAAAGGATGTCTTTATAGACGCAACAAACCCTAATGCTAACTCGTATAGAGATACTCAAACAAAAATTCGCGAAGATCCCCTGCTTGCCATAAAGAAAACTGAGCAAGCTAATATTAAGGCTATAGTCACTAATCCCCTTAAATTAAAAAAACTCAAAGAGGTAAGGTTTGAGAGAACTCTCTTTATCCTAAGATCTGACTTTAATTAATTATTTTTTCTGTTTGGAAATAGAAAAAGAAAGATAAGAAAAGTAAAAAAGATAAAAAGGAAAAAGAAAAACGCGAATCGTACGAAGAGTCCAAGAACGGTGATAAAAGTCGTCGTCATAAGACAAAACCTGGTGATGATTTATTAAATAATACTAGGGAAGCAGTCAAGCATGGTCGATCGAAGAGATCTCGATCTCGTAGTTTGTCACGCTCACGCTCACGTTCTCGGGAAAGATATTATGATAGACGGCAATCCGAATCATTACGCCTAAATGGATATGATAATTCACAAAAAGATGACTACGCACGCAAAAAACGAAATGGTGACAGCCGTTACGACAAATTCGAATCGTTCGAACGTCGAAGATCCTCTTCACCTCCAAGAAAACGAAACCGACGTGGCAGCCCTTCCCCTCAACCTCGAGGGAATTCAACATATATAAGAGATGAATCCTCAACAAAAAAAAGCAATCAATTTAAAAATTTTCATAAAGATCATCGAAACCATAATGAAAATAACAAGAGTTCTCTTAATAATGAAGCACAAAGAAAATTACAAGAGATGATGGAAAATGCTAAGAGGCTTGAAGATGAACGTAAAAGTCGTCTTGAAAAGATTAATAGAGAGGAAAAAGAGGAAGAAAATCGATTAGCTGAAGAGAAGAGGAAGACGGTTGAGAAGGGAATACATTCGGGTTATTTAAAGTAGGAAATAAATTTTTCTGAAATTTTAAATTCGACGCTTTATATTTTTCTAACCAGCACGTTATATTCTAAAATAGGCAAGCATACAAAGACGTATATTCATCAAATTCGTCGTTTGATTTGGGAGAACGAGTTCGTAGGCATCGTGGTACAATGCAGAAAGCTTATGGGGAATAATTTAAATTAAAAATTATTTATTAGTTCGTATCTATATGTCTTCCTATCAAGATCTCATCATGGCTTTCTTTAATATTCGTTTTCTCAATTGAAAAATTCTTTATTCGACTTTATCAGAAAACTTACGAATGCCAGTTGAGATCACTCGTTACTCAGTCCCTTGCTAATAATGTACAATAAATAAAAGCGACCTTTTTGGAAAAGTTAAATGGTCGACAGTTATCATACTTTTGTAAATTCATATGTACTGTAATTACTACGAATTTATGCATAAAGTTCTTTGCTTATTATGTCATGCCTGATCGTCATAATTGTTAATCTTTGCATGGCACGAAATCACGTGGGTATTTTGTTGTATAATTTGCTTTTGGCCCGCCAAAAAAAAAACCTCGATTATTTTTTGACGATCGTTATTATGTCGGACGACGATTTTATGCTCGAAGATGAAGACTATAACTTTGATTACGAAGACGACGAGCAGGAAGAACCTGATGTTGATCTAGAGAACAAATATTATGCAGCAAAAGGTCTGGAAACAGGATTAGATCGGGGGTGGTCTATTTTTTTCTTGAAATCAAGTTTTTCATAAAAATTGTGATCCCTGAAAAAACCATAGACTTAAAATCGGCTTAGAATGAATATTAGTCTTAATTTAATATAACTCTCCGGTTATAGAAACCGGTAAAAAACTAAGGATTGAGCATGTTTTCATTAAATCAATAATTCATTTTGTCCAGCTCGAAAAGAAGACGATCCGATAGGGGCGATTAAAGAATTTCAGAGCGTGGTGGAGACCGAGCAGGAGAAAGGCGATTGGTATGTTAATTTTAAAAATTAGGGATCCTTAGTCAAGTTTACACATAGATTCACCCACACAGTGATCCTTTGACAGGGGTTTTAAGGCGCTCAAACAAATGTCCAAGTTATCTTTTAAAGCTGGAGACTATGAATCGGTAGATTTTAAAATGGTTTTATGGTCGGCTTGCTATAGAATCGTCGGATACTCATTTTCTTCTTGATACAGACACTCAAATATTACAAACAACTTCTTTCCTATACGAAATCAGCCGTGACGCGGAATTACAGTGAAAAGAGTATTAATAATATATTGGACTTTATTTCCTCTTCCCAAGATATGACCTTTATGGAAGAATTCTATTCGACAACTCTGAGTGCATTAGAAGAAGCCAAAAATGAGGTGAAGAATTAATGAATTTGTGTATGATTTAAAATTCACCATTGTCGGTTGTATTAAATCTAGAACCTTTTTCAGAGACTATGGGTGAAAACAAATTTGAAGTTGGCTAAACTTTGGCTTGACCGAAAAGAATACACTCGACTGAATAAAGTAATTGATATTATATATATACATCCATTAATTATTGCGACACGTCAGACAATAATGGACTTTCGTATTAGATTCTGCGTCAACTACATGCATCTTGTCAAAAAGATGATGGAACTGACGACCAGCGTAAGGGAACACATTTGTTGGAAATTTTTGCACTTGAGATCCAAATGTACACGGAGACTAAAAATAACAAAAAGTTAAAGGTTTGTACCATGAGATCGTTACGGCTAACAAAAAAATATCTCTCAAGTAGTCGATCTACTTTTTTTAGGCCTTATATCAACAATGTCTTCACGTTAAATCTGCTATCCCACATCCACGTATAATGGGTGTTATTCGTGAATGTGGCGGCAAGATGCACATGGGAGAGAGTAAGTAATTCTTTAAGGGACATCTACATGAGCTATTCAAGGTGATCGAAAGTAATAAATTTCTTGCGCCTCAGAGGAGTGGGATAAAGCACAAACTGATTTCTTCGAATCTTTCAAGAATTATGATGAAGCAGGAAGTCCTCAGCGCATACAAGTACTGAAGTAAGTCAAATTATTTTATCATTCAAATTTCCATTTCCATTACTTCCAAACATTCTTCGAATGAGATTAATAAATACTGTCTTTAGGTACCTTGTGCTTGCCAATATGTTGACCGAATCACAAATCAACCCGTTTGATTCGCAAGAAACAAAACCGTAGGATGAATTTCATTGAAACGTACACATGTACACCACGATAAAGTACTTATAGATCGATCCTATTGTTTCAGGTACAAGAATGATCCGCAGATTGTTGCCATGACTAATCTTGTCAGTGCATACCAACGCAAGGAAATCAGAGAGTTTGAAAAAATTCTTAGAGGTACATGGCTTTTCATTATAACTGATCCCGAGATAGGTCTATGATTTACAAATAGCTTTTTATTATTATTAGATAATCGTGCTACTATAATGGATGATCCTTTTATTCGAACCTATATCGACGACGTTCTCAAGAACATTCGAACACAAGTTCTTCTTCGTCTTATTAAACCTTATACGCGAATTGAGATTCCTTTTGTATCTAAAGTAAGGAGAAAATAAAAATCCCTAAATTGTCTATTGAACAATTATAACTAACAATCATTCTATCCTTTGTTATAGCAACTTAATATACCAGCACAAGACGTTGAAGACCTTCTTGTCGGACTCGTTCTCGATCAAAAAATCAAGGGTCGTATTGATCAAGTGAATCAGCGGTTAGAATTATACAGGCAGTACGTACAAAATTCACTATATATATATATATATATATATATTTGATACATGGTTGATATATTTCAATTACTCATATAGGTCTTCCGACACTGAACGGTACAATGCCATCGATAAATGGTCAAATAATGTGTCTACTTTGTACAAGACGTGCATAAACAGAGTCAATTGATGTCCGTATAAACTATGTATTTTATGACGATACGGAAATTTTTTCTGGCATAGAACTTAAATAGGAACGAAATGAGTGATGGCTACGATGTCCATCATTTGTGCAAAGAAATTCAACGTTTTAATATTCACAAATGAAAATACAAGTTAAATTACTAAGGTTGAAATTTATTATACTGTTAACTTTTATCAATGAATTTTTTTAAAGGGTAGTGATTTATTCAGGATGAGATTATCTGCGCAATTTTTTTCCTCCATTCATTGAACCAGCCAATGCATGTCCCGTCGTATTAATGTGAGCAAACAATTGATTTCTACTTGAAAATACTTGCGAGCATGTATTACACTTATGCTATAAGAGAAGAAGTAGGTCATTAATTAAGCACCGCAAGTAATTGAAAAGGAAAAAAAAATGTACCTGATTGGAATTATCGATTTTTTTATTTTTTCTATTCTTTTTCTTTTCCTTTGTATTATTGGCACTACCTTCTTGCTGTCCTGATATTTCTTCTTCTTCATCTTTCAAGAAATAAGGAATTGTCTCGGATTCATCATCTGACTCAAACCCACCACGCGCAGTGATTTTAACTTTATCCAAAGCTTCAGATATTACATCTTCATTAGATGTTATTAAATCTTCATTATTAGGTATTACTTCGTCTTGATCAAGACCCCAATTCGGACCTCGTTGTTTTTTCTTTAGCTTCTTATTCCTTTTGTTATTGTTTGTGGTAGAAGAAATGTCATTATTTTCCTCATTTACCGGCAGCAATGATTCATCAACATCACCGTTCTCTTTTTGTAGCGAAATAATATCATGATCTTGCTCTATACCCTCACCGCCCTCATTTTTTGCGTCCTGAAATATAAGGTCGTCATCGTCTTCAAACATTTCCTCTTTCAAAATTTCCACATTTTTTATATGCTTTTTACTCTTTTCATGGTTAATCCATTGTTTCTCGTGTTTAAAACTTTTGTTACATGCCACGCAAACATATTCGTCCTCCGGGACATCTTCCTCTTCTTCAGAGTCGTGATCATCATCATCATCCTCAACTTTTGTCCAGTCTTGCTCTTGATATTCTTGAAGTTTGGAAATATATTCGGCACGATCTCGCGCCGCACGTAACTTAACGTTGGCTGCTTGTTCTTCCTTTTTTTGTTCTAGAGCGTTTAGATATGCTTTATACCGTGGGTCTCGCTTTTGAACAAATTCAACCAAAGACTTAAATAGAAGATATTTCGGATATTTATTAATAATTTAGATTATTTAGGTTAGCCAATGGATTTTTGACTTACTCTAACGGTATCGTTGTACTCTTTACGCGCCGCATCACGAGATTTCTTGTTTTCTTTCTCCATGATTTTTTTGATACGGCGGTCGGGTGCCTATATTTTTAGATAAACACTAAACCATGAGGAAATATATAATAAATGATTTTTTTAATTTTTACCTCAGATAGACGATGTTTATCAAACCAAATGAAGCTCTTCTGTGTAGCAAAATTAAGCCATGAGTTATAGAAATTTTTAATGGAATTTCTAAATCCACGTTCATCTCGATTCGAGGGAGTATCACTATTACCAAATGATGGGTATGGGTGAAATTCTTCTGCATCTTCCCCGCGATCATATTTAAACGCTTCCAATTCCTCTTCCGCTAATTTAGCAAATATTTCTCGATAAACCGTGTAGAATCCCTGATAATTCAGAGTATATAATTAAAAATTGAGAATAAGCATATGGAATCAATTAAAGAAAGCATACCTTTGCACTGTCGTCAAATCCTTTGTAGCATCCCGCGCTAAAGAATTTCATAAGATCTTCAGCCCTAATGCCTTGCACTGAACTTCTCTGTTGCCTTATTATCAATTCATTCTCTTCGTCGTCATCTGAAAAAATAACGTAAATTTAGAATCAAAAAATTGTTCTTTCCATATTCATTATATATTCACCTTCTCTTAGAATGGCATCCCGGTGACCATCGTACCTAAAGGCAAATAAGAAATATTCTATCAGTAATATTAAAATTTGTGAATTACAAAACTTTATTTACCATGCTCTTTCGTGAGGATCGGATAGAACTTCATATGCTTGTTGTATTAGAGAAAATTGATTTGTTGCCAATTCTATTCTATGATGGTTCTTATCAGGGTGCCATTCCAACGCCTTCTTGCGATACGCTTTTTTCAATTCCTCAACAGTAACCGATCGATCAACTCCTAACAATTCGTAATAGCAAGTTCGCATTTTTCCTTGAACCTGATTGTCTGCGATCTTTTTTTATACTTGAATTTCTGTCACGTGACATTAGCATATGCATATTATATAATTGTTAATTTTTTGAGCAAGATAATGTTAACACCTAAAGCACAAGAGATCAAATAAATTGAAAAAAGATCTTAATAAGCAATTCAAATATATTAAACAGAAATGTTTAAATTAAAATATCAAAAAGATTATAATTATTAGAAAGAATTAATTTTATATATTTATATACAAGCTTATCAAATAAATTTTTAACTAGGGTTTCTAATAATACAAAATTTACTATAAGTTTAATATAGTAGTAGATTACAACCCATATATTAAATTTATTATAAGTTGATACCATTTCAATATTGATTTGAAACTCTATTCTTAATAAAAACAATATAAAATCAAGATACTTTATTTAAATA